TCAGAGCCTGTTCTGCTTTTAAAGATTAATCACGTTCATGGAGTATATTTCAAAAAGTTAATCAAGAATAATCTCGAAAGGATAAAACGTCGGCAACAAAGCTTCTCATTCCGCGCTCGAGATTCTTGAGAGACAAGACGGGCGTATTTCGATCGATCGTCGGCCGAAGGCGGCACGGCAGGCAGCAAAGAGTAAAAGAGAGGGATAGAGAGAGAAAGAGACCTAGCGCCAAAATAAATCAATAAAATAGCGAACCCGAGTCGGGCATGTAGGTGCATACACGTACAACGTGTATAGCTGCATGTACACGTATGGATATGAGAGGTGAGGTGAAGAGAGAGAGAGAGAGAGAGAGAGAGAGAGAGAGAGAGAGAGAGAGAGAGAGAGAGAGAGAGAGAGAGAGAGAGAGAGAGAGAGAGAGAGAGAGAGAGAGAGAGAGAGAGAGAGAGAGAGAGAGAGAGAGAGAGAGAGAGAGAGAGAGAGAGAGAGAGAGAGAGAGAGAGAGAGAGAGAGAGAGAGAGAGAGAGAGAGAGAGAGAGAGAGAGAGAGAGAGAGAGAGAGAGAGAGAGAGAGAGAGAGAGAGAGAGAGAGAGAGAGAGAGAGAGAGAGAGAGAGAGAGAGAGAGAGAGAGAGAGAGAGAGAGAGAGAGAGAGAGAGAGAGAGAGAGAGAGAGAGAGAGAGAGAGAGAGAGAGAGAGAGAGAGAGAGAGAGAGAGAGAGAGAGAGAGAGAGAGAGAGAGAGAGAGAGAGAGAGAGAGAGAGAGAGAGAGAGAGAGAGAGAGAGAGAGAGAGAGAGAGAGAGAGAGAGAGAGAGAGAGAGAGAGAGAGAGAGAGAGAGAGAGAGAGAGAGAGAGAGAGAGAGAGAGAGAGAGAGAGAGAGAGAGAGAGAGAGAGAGAGAGAGAGAGAGAGAGAGAGAGAGAGAGAGAGAGCCATGGCTTGGCGCGACGGCCGAGGAGAGAGGAGAGCCGAAGCAGGCGAACGAGCGAGCGAGGTCGAGACACGCGGCAGCTGTCTGGCGCCAGGGGTCCCCCTGTTCCCTCAAACAGTCGCGCCGAATGCCACCCACCTTAGCCAGCCGACCGACCTATCGTGCCATTCTCAAACCTGCCTGCTTCCCGGGAGCCCGTCCGGCTCTCTCTTTCTTTCTCTCTCTTCCTTTCTTTCCTTTCCTCACGCATTAACTCCACGTTCCTGCGACCGTCTTCCATTCGTCCTGCTGCTGATGCAGCTTGCGTCCGACAACGCGTCCACGTTGACAGACTTCGACGACTTTGTTGCCACAGATACGTTTGGCGAGAAATTTCAAGAATTTTTATGTGACAAATGATAGAATAATTTAATAGTCGAATCACTAAATATCGAAAATCCCCATTTTTTTCCTTACTTTGTACGATTTTTAAATTATAACCGATGTACGTATATTTTATCGCATTGAAATATATGAAAAAAATAAGAACGATGCCTTGAGAAGATTTAATCAGCGATGAAAGTTGGAAAATGCTCCATCGAGTTTTGATATTTCTAATTCAAGCGATATTTCTGTTCTATCCCGGAAGCAGAGCGTGTTCTATCTATAACTGACTCAAATAAAAAGGCTACCGCGCGCGTGTTTATAATTCCGTGCCATCCTCTCCGACGCGCTCTAAACTTCTCGTATCACGTATTATATTGATTGCGTGCAATATCGTGCAAATATATATGATATTTACTAAGTCAACGAAGATGCAATTGCATCCAAACGATACTCATTTTCGTAAACGAG